GCTTTTTATTATATTACGTTAAAGCATTTTTTCACCTAAAATATACATATATATACTTAGAGCATTAACTATAGTGTAGTTTTATAGTTTTGTAGTTTTTATAGTTTCAAATATAAAAAATTATATTAAATCTAATAAAATACTTATAGAATTATAAGTTTTACGGATAACTAGTATAAATTCTATATTATAAGCTTATATTAAAAAAAAGTGGGTCCTTATATAGCATTATAAGCTTAAAACTTCAAAAACTACATTTTCTAGTTTTTATAGTGTAGTGTAGTGTAGTGTGTTTTTAGAAAATTACATAATCTAGTTTTTAAGCTTATAATTAGCTAAAAGGACCCACTTTTTTATATAAGCTAATTAGTTATAATATTAGCTAATGTATATATTTATTATTAAAATTCAAGTATTTTATTAGATTTATTATTAATTATTTAAGCTTTTTTGAAAATTGAAAATGTAGTTTTCTTGTTAATACTCTGCTAGTAACATGGTAAAGAAAGTTAAAAAGCCCGAGTTAATATTAAGCTTCTTATTAGTAGATTCTAAGGGGAGCTCGCTAGAGTCGCTAAAGAAATTCCATTTATCGTTATTAATATCGTCGCAGCTACTTACGCTACTAGGTAATAATGCAATTATTATCGGGGAATCCTAAGAGGAACCAGGTAATAAATATAAATGATTTTAAGTCTTAAGCGTTAGGCTTAATTATATTATTATAATTCCGTTTATAGCGTAGTATACTAGTTAAAACCTTAGAAAGAAAAGAAAAAGAAGAGGTGCATATTAACTAAATGCTTTAACTCGATTATACCCGAGTTATTTAGCCTTTATACAGAGCATTAACTGTAGTGTAGTTTTATAGTTTTATAGTTTTTATAGTTTCGAATATAAAAAATTATATTAAATCTAATAAAATACTTATAGAATTATAAGTTTTACGAATAACTAGTATAAATTCTATATTATAAGCTTATATTAAAAAAAGTGGGTTCTTATATAGCATTATAAGCTTAAAACTTTAAAAACTATAAAATGTAGTTTTTATAGTGTAGTATAGTATAGTGTGTTTTTAGAAAATTACATAATCTAGTGTATTTATTATTATAATTCAAGTATTTTATTAGATTTATTATTAATTATTTAAGCTTTTTTAAAAATTAAAAATATAGTTTTCTTGTTAATGCTTTGCCTTTATATAGGCGGAATATAGGCTATTAATCGTAGCGTTAACTAGTAAAGAACGCAAAAGCTTAACACGAACTATCTTCCTAGATTTAATACTAACTATTTATCTAGGTTCATAAATAGTCCTAGTATAGTCGCTCACCCCATTCTAAATCTTATTATTATTCCATTTCGCCCGGCCTAATAATTCACACTCTTATAGCGGCGCTTACTACTCCACTCCCTACTCCTCCGCCCGCTCTTCCTTTCCTGTCCACTAGTAACCTTCGGTGCAGTTAAGCCTCGCCGTAGATACGGCTAAGAGTTCTTCTGCATTATTTAGTAAAGGTAACCTTAGGTAACGTATTATTAAAACCTTTTTAGGACACGTAATATAGCGCGGGAAGTTAAGAAGCCGATAATCGAACGATCGCTCCTTAGCCTGTCGTTTAGCAGAAGATATTCGGCTAATTGCAGGGGAAGATACTAATAAATACGATATTAACGATTTAAGAGAAGGGGTATAACCAGAGCATTAATAAGAAAACTACATTTTCATTTTTTAAAAAAGCTTAAATAATTAATAATAAATCTAATAAAATACTTGAATTATAATAATAAATACATAAAATAGCTAATATTATAGCCAATCAGCTTATTTAAAAAAGTGGGTCCCTTTAGCTTTTTGTTAGCTTAAAAACTAGATTATATAGTTTTCTAAAAACTTACTACACTACACTATACTATAAAAACTATAAAATGTAGTTTTTGAAGTTTTAGGCTTATAATAGTATATAAGGACCCACTTTTTCTATTATAAGCTTATAATTTTAGATTTATGCTAGTTATTTGTAAGACTTATAATTCTATAAGTATTTTATTAGATTTAATATAATTTTTTATATTCGAAACTATAAAAACTATAAAACTATAAAACTACACTACTTCCAATACTCTGGGTATAACGAGATTAATATAATATATACGCTATAAAAGAACTTAACTATAAGTTATAGACTTACGTTAAACGTACTCTAGTATACTTTAATTATAGTATAAGAGTAAGATAATGTAAGTAAATTAATTCTAAGTATATTAACCTAATATTTATAGCTGTTAAAAGATTAGCTAAAAAGCCTTAAATAACGGAATTAAAGGGAGTAGAGAAAACTATATAATCTAGTTTTTAAGCTTACAAAAAGCTAAAGGGACCCACTTTTTTAAATAAGCTGATTGGCTATAATATTAGCTATTTTATGTATTTATTATTATAATTCAAGTATTTTATTAGATTTATTATTAATTATTTAAGCTTTTTTAAAAAATGAAAATGTAGTTTTCTTGTCAATGCTCTGGTACTAGTTAGGCATACCAAGTATTATAGGGCGCTAGCACCCGAATAAGGCAAAGCTTACGAGATAATAGAAAGGCTTAGCCGCGCTACTAGCCCCCTAAACCCAACCGCAAGCATTAATAATTCTTTTAAAAACTCCTAACACTAGAGGCAACCTATCTTAAGAGCTAGTTATTACTAACAGGCTATCTTTGCTAGATTTTTTTCGAATGTGAGACGCGGGTTAATAAGCCCTAGTATTTATAGAGTTAGCGAACGCTTTAAGGTCATTCGGTAGTAGGTCGTAGATTTATAGATTTAACAGATAGTAGGGCACGGGTGAACGTTTCTATTTCTAAGCGACATGGCGCGAGGATTCGTATCGTGATAATCTCAGCTAAACAGGACGATAGCAGCTAAACTGAGAAGAGGTGCATTAAGGACATGGAGCTGCGATAGAAAAGCGAAGCCTATTAAGCCTAATAAATAATGTGGTTAACGCGATTAAAGTAATAATAACCTGTGACACACTAAGGGAGAAGTGGGAATCAACAGGGTCAATAGGGCGAAGAAGAGGAAGAGATAAGGAGGGAAAGAAGAAAGAGAGTTAGGTTTTAGTGGTTAGTCTTATAGATTTCTCTAAAGCAGCGGGAGGTGGAAAGTGGGTCTGGGGGCATGTGGGGGCTGGCGCCTTGCCCATGCGGGCAGGCGGTCGAAAACGGCAGCCAATTTGCAAGCAACGACTTTACACCCTACAGAGGAAGAAGAAACAAGAGAAAAGAGCAGAACAAATATTCTTACCCAACCCAGCTTCGGCCGCTCTACCGGCTGGGAAAGCACTTAATCCAACTTGAACCATCGTCTGCAGTGCCTTCATGATCAAGAAGCAGCCAATGGCCGCAGTTGTTGCCGTGGCATCATTACCGTTCCCGCCAGGATGTTGACCAACTATTTGTTACATTCGCGACGACCCAACACGTATTGGTAGCCACGAGAGTCTCTCTGCCACGGAATATCCTAATCAAGGAGCACCATGTATCCCATACAGCCTGTGTTGTATAGCTCGCCCTTGGCTTTGGCTTCATCGATGACGTCTTTACACTCCTTCTCGCGTTGGCCTAGCGGTGCCAACCTGGAGTCATTATAGGCCATACATTGCCTTTTGTTCAAGTCTCTGATTTGCAGTCTTGATAGACGCGTGCCGTCGGTCTGCTTCGTGCACTCACGCTGATTGGACTCTTCCGCAGGTTCCTTTTCTGGCACATTGTTGTCACAAAACTTCATCGGGGCAATAGTTGTAGTTGCAGGCAGATCTGCACAAACGGTTTAGATCCGGGTTGAATGGCTCGTATGCGTTCCGCTTCATGCCCTTTTCAGCCGGCAGTTTCTTGAGCGATCCTCTTTGGTAACAGTCGCAGAGGGACTCTGGGCAGAAGCCGTAAGTGCAGGTAAATTCACACAAATCTTTCCTTTAAATCGTGACATCACCACCAGCTTTGAACCCTTGTCCTCAGGTCTGCCAACATTGTCAAGGTCGGTACCGTACACCTCTTGCAAGTCAGCAGCCCAGTCGACGGTGCCCGCAAAGTTCAGCTTTTTCCATTCCTCACGCCGCGTGTCCTTTGTAGTCGGCGTCATGTACCTGAAATAGTCACCTGCAGTCGAGTTCTAGTTAGCCCCCGTCTGCTTTGCTCTGCTCTGCTCTGCTTTGGCCAACCCCCCACCCCTTTTCTCTTAAAATTGCGTTAGGGTCAACTGACTATTGTAAAGCATCACATATGTGTTGAATGTCCGCCATGGAATGTTCTCACGCCTGACCCTTGGAGAACTTCATTGGTTCAGCATAAGCAATATACCCAGGAGCCTTGGTGCATCTGCCCGGGGTCGCGTCAGACTGCGTTGAATTCACACATCGGACCCCAGCAGCCGTCCTTGGCCATATGGAATGTGCGGCCGTATGAAGCTTCTGCAATAAAGATCTTGTTATTGAGTACACCGACTTTCGTGACTAATAAATATAGTGTTAGCAAAAAGAATAAAATCGTCCACTACACATTTCTGTGATAGTTTTCTTACTGATTGTGAGCGAGTTGACAGTCTCAGTGAGGTTGACTAGTGGTGTCCTCGATTCAGCATGATAACAATCAGAGCATAGGGGCGGGTTTACCCACTGTGACTTTGACAATGGCTTCTACGTTGGGGACGGTCGGAATCCCTATTACTCCGAGCATGAGGATGAAATGGTGAAGCCTTGGATGACGCCGCTATCGATGATTGGTAACCATGGAACTTCTATCATCTACAGCGCCAGGACTCACGATATCTGGATCTTTACTCAGTTAGGAATGTGGACGGTCGATCCTAGTTTACCGCCGTGGAGATCTTCCAGTGGTAGCCCAGCAGATTATAACGACGAAAAGCGATGAAATGGAGGATAACAAAGAAATTGACTACAACGGTCATTATTCCAAAGCATCTTGTCGACCGGCTGGTTATGTACTCCGCGACATCAACTAATGGTATCAACAGCTTGAGGATCTTGCCGGCGAAGGTCAGCATTCTCCAGCTGATTGAGGCCAGACCTTGACCGAGCCGTTGTACGTCAAACATGGATGGCTGACTGGCGACTTTGACGGCCACGCTTTCCAAGTCGACCGAATCAGAAACTTTGCCTCTACAGAAGTAAAGAGAACGCCAAAGGAGCCGTTTCAGAATCTTGAAAAATCTCCAGCGCACCGCAGGTAGTGAGAAAGATATATTGAAGCTGGCGGAGGCTATATGGGATACACGCTGGAAGGTGCTGCTCGAAAATCAGGTCCAGAAAACACGCACTATTGAGATACAGCAGCAAAGGGAGAAAATCGACAGGCTTTGTCCTGGAGGCATCACCACCCAAACAGAGGAAGACATGCCCCTATGGGAGCCCGAGTGGCTGAGGGTGGTTCTGGCCGAACAGCAGGATTGTCTACAACGGTGTCAGAACGAAATCTCAAAGACAAGAGCTACTGACTCTATCATGGAGCGAGCGCTTCGCCTGCAGCTTAAACATGCTCAGCGAGAGGTCGAAATGTACCGGCAAGCCTACGAGGCGTCAAAGCTTGACGCGCAAAGGCTATGCCATGGCAAGAGGTTTACCTCCGCCACGGGATGGGCGCCTTTAGACTGGCGGGATAGGCCATCAATAGAGCGCAAAGCGCTGGAGAGGATGCAAGAGAGAATGCTGGACGACCTCACCCAGTACCGGAGCTTTCTGCAGCAGGGGCCCGAGACGGCACTGAAGGTGAGGCAGGATGTTGAAGGCGTGGTTACGAATCGACAGCATTGGACACAGAACTTCTACTTGCAGAGAAGATATTATGAGGAACAGATGAGAGATGACGTGGCAGGTACGCAATAGCTCAGGGGATTCGATCGTGTTTGAGAGTACGAGTGAACATGTGTGCTCCGCAGGATATGTCGTCGTGGGAGTTAATTGCAAATACATATTACTATGCTGCGTAGGCCCTCGACAATCCATCGTGAAGGAATCCATTGGCCAAGAAGCCAGGTTGCGGGTGGGTTTGGAGAATAAACTTTCCAGCTTGACTGGTCATGATTGAATATTTTCGGGCGCACTTTGAGTGAATTCTCTGACAGTGGATAAGAAACACCAAGAAACATAAGATCAAGCCCCTCATCAACATCCAACACTTGTGCTTGCACTGGAATTAACTTGCTCGCCACCTGCAAAGACAGCATTTGATGTGGCTCATCAAAAACGACGCGGCAAATACAATCTTTGAATGGACAATGGCAAAAGGTTGCGACCAAGAATACCTTGAGCCGGTATATTTCGAAACTCACTGGCGTTCCTGAATCTGCCTTGGTTACGCCACCCAGGGAGGAAATCTACGAATTTCCAGTTGCCCGACGGATATCATGGATCACCGGCCGCCAGACTAGCAGGGTCGAAGACATGTCGTATAGTCTCCTGGGTATTTTAAACATTCACATGCCCATGCTATACGGTGAAGGGGCGATGGCTTTTCAGCGAGAAGGTCTAATGACTGTCCGGGAAATAAGGATGGAAAGAACTCAGCGGTTGTGACTGTGCTTGGTGTTGCCGCCTGTTTGAATAGAGTTGCTGAGTTCTTGGGCATAGTTTTTAATTCGAAGGGGCAATCGACACGAAGTCATCTACTCAAGCGGCGACAACAGCTCCATGGGCAACAGGAAGGTCAACGACGTTCACATGTTTCTCGACCCTTGGGCTCCCAAAGCCCTCCATTCATTGATGGCCCCCCGGAAGTGAGTCCTTTTGTACGGCACAGAGCCTTTCACCAGAGCGGTCAAGGTCTTGGATACATTCACTCCTGTAGTAAAACCAAGCCAGTAGTTGTGCTCTCACCGTTGAGAGATGTTGTCAAGGCTCGATAGAGATGTCGCTATTTGCATCTAGGGTTACGCCTAACTCCTGGATCATTGTGTGCCATGCACCCTGAGCGAATTGATTCCTTCCATATCTTCGACAGACCGTGTCTTTGACCACCGCTCAGGGTCCATCTTCGCTGGGTTGCAACCACCGCTTTGGCTGGCATTGCACGGTCATCATTCTCCACCAGCTCACGATATACCGTGACTTGGTGGTAGACTGCCTGAGCAGTTCAATCCTCTCGACAACCTCACGCATAGACTTGAATTTCCCATGCCAGCAATCTAGCATTAAGGCGCCCATGGGCAGATCGGTCACATCCGGAAATTGATTGCTTTCGTATAGACGCTCGACGCGCTCTTGTGCGTTTTTCGTTCCCTTTAACTCATGATGCGGGGGCCTGCCGGTCATGATTTCGTAGATTGCACAACCCAGGGCGAAGATATCGGTCTGCACGGTGGCGCGGGGCGTGGATGGCTTGTAGCTAAACCACTCATACGAGGAAGTCGGCCCTTTGCCATCAATGCTGCAGCCTTCAAAGTCGATGAGTTTTAAATTGCCGTGAGCAATGATCATATTTCGACATCCCACATCAGCCTGGATAATGTTGTAGTCATGTAGGTATTGTAACCCCGTAGCCGCCTGTTTGATCCAGCGATATTTTGTGCGCAAAGGAATGGAACGAGCACTCGTTTGCTCAGAGAGTCGGCGTCGAAGTACTTGTCCGCGCTCGAGGACGATAGAACCGTCATCCAGAGCGCCTAGAAATTCCGCAATGTTGGGATGGCGGCCCAAGCGTTCATAAACTTGTCGCTCGGCGCGAATTTCGGCATCGTTGTCGCCCTCGTATCTTTTCACCACTCGTCGCGCATCGAGGGCGTACACATTGCCTGATTTTCCAACGTCGATACAATCCAGTCCCTCTATAGTAGAAGTTGACGGAAGGCTGCGATTATTCACGTATGTCTTCTTCAGCATGAATGTGTAGCACATGATGAGATGGAAAAGAATGGGAAACGGGAGAGATTCGGGAGCTGTTGTTTATTTACAGGCCTACTTTGGACCTATGAGGTTCATCCCCAATGTCACGTGGCTCAAGTGACAGATTGCATCTAACGTTTGAGGCCGACGACGAGCTCCCACCTCCACGTGGTGTCCGCTGGGAACTCTCAGAGAAACAGTCCAGCTGTCTCTGAGTGCCAGGAGGAGTTCAATCACGCGGTGATCCTCTCATAATCGACGCGTCGAAGTCCCGAAAATGACCCTCTGCACCTCACGAAACACCCAACATCACAGCCCCAGTACGCGGGAAGAGAGTAGCTGTTAAAATGGGTCACTTTTTACGGGTACCAATTACGTACGCGTACTCTAGATAAGGGTAAGCTCTTAAGTACGAGTAAATAATTATAATAATAAGCGTACTTATAAAAAAGAGTATATATGATTATCTCTTTTATAATTAAATATAAACTTATATATATATATTATTATAATAATTAATATCTCTTAAAGTATAATAATTATAAATTTAAAAGAATTTTAAATCTCTTATAACTTTTATTTAATAAACTTTTACTCTTACTCTCGCACTTAGAGCATTAATCAGAAAACTA